TCTTTATCCACCGAGCGGTAATATAGCACTGCAGGGAGGGAATTGGGGGATTCTACCCATTGAGAGGCAATGGTTAAATTGAGAAGCAATTTGCTTCCCATCTCATTGAGAGCACTGAGAAGAGGTTCTCGGCAGCTGAGGGAAGAGAACATGGGCCTTGGTTGCACGTGATCTTATTCCGCAGCAGGAAATATTACCTGACGCCAATGTAACATGGTTTTTAGGGATGTTGAGTCAGGGTAGCGGGACAGGTAGACATCTATGCGGCTCTGCAAGAAACCATTGGAGACATTTATTCTCTGCATGGAGGGAATTCCCATTAGAAATAGAACTGATCCTGTTCATTAGCCACACAACATCTTCCACCTATACCGGCTAGTTGGAGCTTGCATTTGTACAAACTGCTTCATCTTAGCTCTGTGAGGGCACAGCTCAGCGGCACACTGTGCGAACACACACCACAGACAACAGCGCGAAGGGTGCTGTAGAGCTCCCTTCAGTAAGATAAGCAATTCCCACTGGATGCTTGGTCATGTTACGAGTCTATGTGGTTTCAAAACAAAGTAAAACCCCATGTCTTGGGCTCATGATCCTTTTGCAAAGACAATGTGCAACTCATCACAGTGGCTCTACACCTTGTTTGTAATGCGTTTTGTCCTTGGAATATTAAGAAATTAGACCAACACTTTCTTTGAGAAACAGTAGCGCAGCTCTGACTCCACCCATGATCAAGCTATTATTGCTTGATCTACATGGGCTTGTCTCCAATTTTACTCACATGAGCAGTTTATAGCAGCATCTGGACCTTGAAATCTTGGCTGGCCCCAAGGAAACAGCCCTTCCCTGTGCAAGTGGAGCATCCTTTGGACCACTCAGCTTGCCTGGACTTGACCCCAAGCCATTCGCTGTAGTTGTAGTGTTGACCCTGGTTGAAGCAGGGTCAGGCTGGGGATCCCCATCCTGGTGACTCCAGCCTGAATTTTTCTCTGACTGTGTTCAGTGCAGTGGAGCACAAGGAAAGGCTCTGATGTGGGGATATGTTCTAAGGGATGGTAGACTGAAGAGTTTGAGGGCCCACCTCTCCTAGCAGTGAAAGAGAAACCCTGGGAATCCCTGGAGCACTTAAAGAATTTCTGTGCTTTCCCCTTTGGCATCATCTCCACTGGGGAGACAACGTGTATGGTGAACATGTGACCCTGTTTTCACTCTGGGCTTCCTGCTGGTGCCAAAACAGGACCATCACAATGGTCAACTCAATGGCCAGATTGCAAAATGCCAACGCAATGGCTAGAATTTTTGACAAATTGGAGATGCGAAAGGGCAGGTGAAGGTAGCTTGTTGATAACTCGGTCTCAAACAATGAGAAACTGGATCACTTAAGAGGTAAGATGGAGTGTACATACCACATTTAAGCTGTTGGTAAACCCACCAGGCAAGTAAAGAACCAAGGAGCAAAAGCTTTTAAAGATGGAATAGCTGCACAGACTGGAAATCACTCGCTGCAAGATCTCACCCTTATTGAAGACCACCGTGGGTCCTAAAATAAGCTGTGGAAATCAAAGGTGTTGATCAGTGTGATTCATGTTCCTTTTTTGCCTCCAGATGCTCCCCACCTCTCTGCTCATCCCTGGAAGTTGCTGTCTTCCTTGCCACAGCTTTGCTGTGCTTCATAATTTTGGCTTTTCAGAAATGACTGTGGCTCTGGAAAAACCCTGGTCTTCCTAGAGGAGTTTTCTCCTAGGAGGATGGACTCAAAACCAGTATCTAGAAATAGGTCTTCTCTGATTAGGACTGGACAGGAGGATGCTTTACACTGTTTAATGCCCCACAAGCTCAACAGGGTAGGAACAAACATACCTGCTCAATGCAAAGGGCACACAGAGGTCAGGGAAATGGAAGCCATGTACAAGCACTGCACATCTCAGGTGATTTAACCTTCCCATTCCCTCCTTCCCCTTCACACCAGATGAGCGAGAACGTACCTTAACCAGCCCCTCGGGAAGGTAAAACAGCCTTGTTAAGGGTGACTTCATATTTGAGTTTGAGGTGATAGGAGCCAAGGCAAAAAACATCTTGATCTTGCGATCCAGCTCAGGAATAGACGAAAACGCAATGAAACCTGTGGGAAGGAGAAGAAAGCAGACCCTGCCCTATTATTTCTGAAGGAGTTGTTGACTCCCAGGCATGTATGCCCATCAGAAGGACCCGTGGAGTTGTCTCTAGCAGGTTGGTGACTTGACCTGAAGCCTTTGCTGCTGGTGCATTTCAGCTTCCAGCTTGACTGCTAAGCCCAGCGGCAGCTCCTGCAAGACCTTCTTGGGATTCTGGGGGATGCACCAAAAACCATTGATTCAACTGTTTTCAGGCTGTCACTGCTCGAACTGTTCTGTTAATGCAAACAGGGATTTTTACCTGCTCTTTTCCCTTCTCTGTTTGGATGTGCCCAGACGTTACCTTCCTTGTCCAGGCTCTCAGGGGAACACTCCCCACATGGGGCTGCACAGCTAACATAACTCTGACAGTGTTCTGATCTCCTCCTAAGTACCTGTGGTGGTGCCTTGAGAGTAAGCCACGTAGTATAACTGCTCTTGTCCAGTTTTCTGAAGAATATAGTTGATCGTTGCTGGAAGGTCAAACATAGCCATCTCATGAAAGCTGCAATGGAGACGGGCACATAACAGAATTACTGTTGCTGACCTTGGGAATGGTGAGCAGGACACTACAAGTAGTGCCATGATGATTTGGGGAGCGTGCAAGGGCTCTGGCAGGTATAGGCACCCCTATGGCATCTTGGTGGTGTTGGTTTATGCCCACAGGCAGATGGTGTGACTGTCAGTGGCACTGCTCCTCCAGCCTATGGACACTGCTGAGGGTGCCAGGTACCTGCCCACTCTTCCGTTTCACACATAATACCTGTAAGCTGAGTATTGCTGGTGGTGAAACTCAAACTCCTTGTGCTTTCGCGACCAGCTGTTCCCCCGGCTGTTTCCGATCCAGACATCATAGCCGGCATCAGCGAGGATGAAGCCCAGGCTGCTGTTGGGAAAGTTGGTAACCCAGTTGCTTCCCTCCAACACCAGACCATGCTGCAGGAGGACCACGGGCTTTGGACCTGAAGAAAGAAGAGGAGGATCATCTTCTCTAACCATTAGGAAAATTGACCATTCACATCCAGGTATGGCTTTGGCAGCAACCCCCTGGGGAAATGATTCCAGCGCAGGGAGATGATCACCTATGTCCTCAGACTCTTTGGAGAGGTGTTTTTAAAGTAGACTCTTTGGTTGTCCCAGGGCACAGAAAATTGATATAGTGAAGCTGAAAAGTAAGACAGAATGGAGCCTGGCAAATCCACACTAACTGGAGCTTGGCAAATCACGTTCTCAGCGAGAAAGAAATCAAGCCCCATGTCTGTTTGGACAGTGACTGTGCCCTTTGCATGGAAATCACCCTCCTCACGATGTCTTTTGTTTGGCTCAGGTACTCTGGGTCTGACCAGGAGACACTGAAAAACCAGCAGAGTCTAAGTACCTCCCATGGTACTGTGACAAGATGATGCCCCATTGCAAGAGACACGGGTACCGGCAGAGTCAAGAGCATCTCCTCCACCCATTTCTGCCCACTTTAAGCCATATGGGCAAGTCTCAGCTCCCCAGAACAAATTTAAGATCTTTTTTACAAAGGACCAGGAAGCCTGAAGTGCTGTAGGAAAAGAGTGGAAGAGAGATTACGGAAAGATTTTGTCCGGAAAGACCCCGGAGGTCTCTGCTCCAATCCCCCGCTCCCAGCCACAACAGAGTCTTTGCGAGGATATCTGGATTCATATGGTAGGGTGAACACAGAATGCAGCATGAAAAGTCTGAACTGAAAGTGACTACGCTTTTTTTTCTTTCCCTTTATTCTCCTACATTTTGTGTTGGTTTCCAGACCCTCACATGTCCATCCTGGACACCCAAGGACAAAGTGTCCTGAAGGGAAACGTGGCTTTTTATACTTATTTGCCACATTCATACTCGAGTCCTCCTGCTTCCTTGGACAGGGACACCCTGCCAAGAATGGGGCATCATCCCCTCCACTTTGAAACAGCTGTTCAAGTGAAGGACAAAAAGGAGCTGAAATGGCGAAATGGCATTGGGTTGGGCACATGGGGGCTTTTGCTGACAAGTGGCTTTTTGCTGCTCCACTGGCTGTCTTTGACCTGTGTTCAAGATTTCTCTGTACCATTCATTTTCTTTATCATTCCCTTCCTCTTTGGAGCAGATCCTCTCAGAAAAAGAAGGTCACTGTGGTGGGCACCTGCATTTCTTCTGCTCTCAAGGCTACAGGGAAGGTTGTATCCCTGAGGACTCAACCCATGCCGAGGTAGCCCACACCACTGCCTACTCCAATCCAGCAAAACTCTCAAGGTCCCTGGACCAGGCAGACCTTCTCGTGGCACTTACGGGGACAGAACATGCTGGAGCCCTGTGCCTCTGCTTCATGGGCGGTGCTCATGCTTCCTGGGTTGTCTCTGCCATGAGGAATCCTCTGCATGGTGAGGTAATAGCCATCGTCCGTCACCACTTCATGCGCCTCGTAGGGGTACCCGTAGTAGCGGACAATTTCACCCTGTGGGAATGGAAGGAGAGCATCGGATGGGTCCCCTGGGAGGTGGGGGTCTCTATTCCAGAGGGTGTCAGGGCTTGGCTGGGTGAAGCCAAAGGCGGTTGCCCCGAGCTGGTGGTGGTGGCTCCTGCTGTCAGTGGGAGGGCAGGGTAGGGACCTCCCAGTGTCCCTTCCACCAATGCTGTGGTGATGTTATGACTCCAGCTAACATTTTTGGCGGGTGTGAGCTTCTCTCACTCCCTGAGCAGGTCTGGTAAAGAAAGACCCACTGTTGCTTTTCGTGTTGCAATCAACGTTTGTGAAGAGCAGGGCAGCAGTGACAGTGAAGCTCCAAGCCTGAGACAGCTGCACTGACCTAACCTGGTGATTTGGTCTGAGCTCCCCCATAAACGTGTGCCATAAACCTCTGTGTACGTAAGCACAGGGAGACAAAAGCTCTAACAAGACCCTGGTACCAACCTCTGGTGAAGATACACACACAGAGACCATGGGTCCTGCCAAACTATGGCAGCCTAGGTAGCTTGCATGCCTAAGCAGGAAAAGAAGGAAGAGAAGTCAGGACTTACAACATCCATGGACACCTCGGGGCTTGCATCTGACTTTTCACTCATGCACATCAAATACGCAATGCTTACAAACAGCCACATCATGGTGCTCTGCAAAACATAACACGATGAGCATGACAGACATCGACGGTACTGACAGAAGCCAGGGGTTGCATGCACTTCGCTTGTCATGCACCACACTGCTGCCGCTATATCACTCTGACTGCTCAACAGGTGAAATAAGTTTAAATTTTACATTCTCTAATTGGTCCTAAATATTTTGCTTATCTTGAACAATGCCAGAGGCCAAACTCCATCACATTTTGATCACACATTCTCCACCAGATCCTTGTATTCAGAAGAATGCATGTATGTGCATACAGCTATACGCATCCAGGCAAATCTGGTTTTCGAGGTGGTGATTATAGACTATTCATTTAAAATATGGCTTGGGTAGTCAGAAGAATAGATTATTTAGTTAAACTGATAGCTGAACTAATCAGGAGTAAACCACCCAATTTTAAGTTGCAGGACTATGGTGTTTTTGTTCTTAATATGCAATTAAATCATGCGATTTGGTTGGGCTCTCCTTATGACTGAAAGAGACCCTGGGGACACACTTGGGTTGTTTTTGCAAACCTGAGTGAAATATTATCCCAAGACACCCACTGTTCTTCCTGGAAAGGGTTTTGAAGTATCTGTTTTGGCATGTTCCTACCACAAACCATTTTACTATCATTTTATTTGTTGGACACAATAAATCTGCAACAGAAATACTGACTCAGCTCTCTGTGACATGCTTAAATAGTCAAATTGTGTGGAGCCCACAGCAAGGAGCCCTGCCAAATCCCCACTGAATGCATGCGACTGCGCTGGGCCTCGTGAAAAGCAGTGAGCACAGCTGGATGCCAGACACAGGCATCTTGCATGCGCCTCATTGCTTCCCTGCAGGTTATGATCCTGGGAAAGAAAAGAGAACTGCAAGCTAGCCCTCATCATACCCTGTCTCTGCTTCTGGAGGAACCAGCTTCCTGTGGTGCAGGAGGTGGTTTTGCAGCTGGGAAGAAAGCCACCTGCTCCCTCTGCTGTCCCTGGAACAGGCACATCTGCCAGAGGGGACCATGGGACACCCCTTGCTCACAGCGGGGTATTGCCAGCATGAGGTTGGGGTGGCTGTGGCTTGGTGTCGCAGACCCCCCACA